CATGGTGGTGATAAGAACCAGACAACCTAAGTGTTTATGCTTCTAAAATCTACCTCACAGAAAGTTGTTATATGAAATGGTTACAAAAATACTGCTTTAAACCTGAGATGTTCTTTTTTAATAATAGTTTTGAGATGAGATTTTGGCCTAAAACATAATTTTAAAATCCAGAGATTTTCATCTAGGGTGTTATAAGGCAAAATAGTCTTCAAAGCACACCTATTCTTATCAACATTGCATATAAAAACTCAGAGGCTCATTTTGGACAGTAAATTGTTTTATATAATTTGTGTTGTAGATGTCACAGCCTCTGGTTCCCACCACAACCAAAGAAATCAGACTCCTGTAATGCAATTCACAATCATTACATTTTAGCTGACAGTTAATTGTCATAAATATTTGTGATCATGATTTAATTGTCTTTTCTTGTTCATTGTTTGCAACTATCATAAATACGAGCCTTAAGTAGTCAATTTGACTGATTAGCCACCTTACTTGCCATTTATGTTTACTTAGTAGCTAAGACTGGTTGTACTGTTAAATCAATACTTGCTACAATACATTGCACAATAAACCACTCATTTTTTAAAAATTGGTGAAATTCACCTTTAACATCGCTTTACTGGCTTGATAACTACTTTTTTTATTTTTCCCATTCTCCAGTTCTGATTAACACTGTTTAAAAAACATGATTTTAATGCCATGTTTCAGATGTTGTCTGCATATGTTCTATGTAGGGGTCGGCAATATTCTATACTTATCACAATGCATTTTGTTATCATCATAAACATTATGCTTTTACGGGCACATTTTGGCTATCGTCAGTACTTAAAGAACACTAATCAGCTGCATGTTTCATTAAAAAGAGAGAATAATTAGTCCGGTTTAATTGGAGTGCTGTTTAATTTAGTTCAGTACAGTCCGTGAAATTAATAAATAAAAAAGTTTTTATTGGTAGTTTTTAAATGTTGTAATGCTAGTATATTGTGTCTGTGTCTCAAAATATTGTGACACATACTGTCCATCATGAAAACATTTTTAAGTAACGTGATATGATATTTTTGGCACGTTGCTCACCCCTAATTCTATGGTGTGCAAAAGACATATAACTTATGTATCATATAACATATAAATCATTTAACATGTTATCTGACCTTGTAATAACATAATACTGTGACTTTCTGGAAATTCATTCTCCCACTTTGTAACAAAGTGAGTGTTAAAAGCTTCAATGTTTTCTATCCACTGGGTTTTAATTAGGTCAAAAAAAGAGAAAAAACTAAAGGAAAATACCCAACTTACTACCCAACACCCTGCTTAACGCTAAGGAGCCTCCACTGCAAAACTAATCAAGCAGGCACCTAGCAAGCCTTAAGCAATCTGAAGATGAACATCAATTTCAAACAGATGTCAAAACATTAAACGCCTCACATATAAAAGCATACGCCTAGTCACCCAGATGGCCCTGTATCATCAGCGATGCGCATTTGCATCAACACTTCCGCTTCGTAGTCGTTCGGGAACATCTGGCGAGACTCAGCGAAAGCTGCTATTGTCATTCCACACAGCAGCCGAGTATTCCAGCAGCGTTATTGTCCCGGCAAGTGTGCGCAAACATCAAAGGCATTAGATTTATTTGTCTATATAGAGGCAAGCAGCTCATGAATATATACATAAGCGGCATCAATGAGTTGAGCTGTTGAGCTGCTGTTTGTGTCTGATGCTTGTTTAAACGCAGCACATTTTGTTTTCTTGCGGTTTCTGGCAAATCCTCAGCCAAACACACTGTTCTGTCTACAAACGCTGCCTTCCAGTATTTGGATGCCAAGACTCTAATTTGATATCAGGGTGACACTGCACATCTTTATGAGATCAAGAAAGCGTCAGGAACAAAGTAGACAAATAACAGCAGTGAACGGTTTAGGAGCTATAAAATAAGTGACTGCTCTTTAGAGCAAGATCAAAGAAAGAAAGACCAGCGATTCTATCCACAACTGATCTATACTTCATGGCTAATTCTGACCGCAGCATCAAGAAATGGCACTTCAGCAGTGTCTTCAGATCTCTTACAAAGTGACACTCACACAGTCTTTGTCAGCTTTAACCTGGTGGGACAAGAGGCAGATCTTCATATTACGCAGAATACAGTACTGAATACACTGTCTGTAAATGTATTCCGTAATGTACTTCATAACAATGATTAAAAAAACTGAGATTAATAACTGATCATCACACTGATTTATCAGTCTACTCAGGCTTTAGCAGAGCTCAGCAACACTAAGATTAATAACTGACCATCACATTGATTTATGAGTCTACTCAGGCTTTAGCAAGAACTACACTGCTAAAAGGAACTGTAAAGAAGCCTACTTTAGAGTATGTCTTTACACGCTGTGTACTGATTTTAAAATGGTTAATAAACAACGATTGGTGGTGTTTCTTTTAAAATTTAATATTTTTTAAATTTGGTGGGTAAGTATTGTAAAAGTATTCTCCTAAAAATGCAAAAAGTGTAACCTGGACTGAATAGAGATAGCGAATTTCTGTATTCTGAATATGTATTCCCGATACTTGTATTCTGTTACATCCCAACCCTGTCAGTTAAGCTTTCTGTCATTAGTGATGCTAATAGGATTGGACTGAAAGAAGATAAAAATCTTACAATGCATACATCATGATAACACTAACAAAAAACAAGTCATGATACAGAACTCTTGTATATTATGTTTGATTAATATCACCATTGTGGTAGATTTATTTGCAGAAATACTGAAGCAACACCACCCAGGTAAATGGCTTGTACTAGTGCTATATATCCACAGTGCCCCAAGACACCCAGTGTTCCTTTCTAACATGGGTAATTGGACCTTGGAGCATTCATTTCATTGCCTCTCATGAACCCTGTGCTGATCAAAGCAATTCCTGAGAAAATTTATGCTGAGTAATAGAAAAAGGTATTTATGAAAATGTTTTATCAATAAATAATAAAACAAAACACCAAAAGCACTTCTGAATAATAAAGCTGCTCATTAAACCAAGACCCACACTGGGCCTGTATCAATGCACCAACAGGCAAACATGTATGTAACAAATTAAAGCATTAAATGTAAGCATATGATGTATTACTACAGCCGGGCGGTACAGAAAAAAAAACATATGTGGCAATAAATATTTTAACAAATTTCCTCAATAACAATAAATATGTCTACAACTATAAAGAAAAAGGGAAACCCATTAATCTCTGTGGTGGCATTCATACATAATACAATACATTATTGCTGAAATCATTGTCGCTAGCATTGCTAGTGCTAGTGGGCATGAACATGTTTATTTCACTAATGAGAAAAACTTGTTCCTTTGAATATTATATCACTTCGTATTAATGTTTGAATAAGTGTTTTCATTTTTCATCATTTATTTAAAAACCAAAGTGTCTCCTAATTACAGACACTGCCCTTCTTGGGTGTTACATTTTCTTGACACTTTGTATTTGTTCCACTTAAACATTCACTGTTGTCCATCTTTATCTGTTTAACCAGAGCTAAGTGAAGTCATATTATGCTCTGTATAGAGCCGCTATGCTCTGAGTGGCTGATAGAGGATCCAGGCATGTTTGTGTGGAGCAGAAATCAGCTATATCAAAAAAAAGTCTCCAATATGGAAAAGTGGAAAATGAAAACTTTGAATATCTGCAATGCCAGTGTTAACTGTGAGTTTAGTTGCACAAAAAATGTGAGTGTGTATTTTTGCGCTTCGAGTCTGTTTTTTTCTGCAAGCAGCAAGCCACCTAGTGGTCTAACCATTTTGTTGTTTTCTAATTGCAGCATTTAGAATTCCTTCCAATGCAACTGCAACGACCAGAAATGAAAACAGGATAACACTGACTTGTTTGCCATAAAATTGTTCTAAATGTTATGAATTTATTAACAAAACAGGTAGCGCTCACAAGCTTATCAATAATGCGAATGACAAAAGGGAACTCAGAGAGATAGATTTACAAACCACTGCTCAGGCACTGCAAATCATAAATAAACAAAAAAAAAAACTAATGACCTTTACTTTGGCTTGAACTTAATTTTATCATCAGACTTTGACATGTCAACGCTCTATTTGTGAAGGCGTGAAGTTAGCTCAGCCGCACCCATTAGAGACTTTCATGCTTTAACTTGGTGTGCTTGGGCCTTAACTCACCCACCCGTCACTATCTGAACTCACTTAGATAGCATGGTATTGTAGAGATGACGGTGAAGAATTAAGCAAGAGGCACTGCAGTAAACCCAAACTGAGCTCTTTATTTGGTAAAACACAGGCTACACTGAACTGAGCAGATAAACAGCATACTTTTCTCATACACAGAGGAACAGAAGAGGCACTGCCACAATATCACTACAGTAAGAGATTGGAAAGATTTTATAAACAATCGTTTTCAGAAATATGCCATCCAAAATATAGCAAAGTTTAGGAGCGATCTGTGGCCTGATCAGCTAATATTTTGATACTTTTAATATTCTAACATCTTAAAAGGTACCTAAATTGCTGAAATTGCTAAACTTAACTGCAGTTTAGTGAATCAAATCAAACTGTTCTTAATTTACAAAAATCGCTTTGGAATCAAACCATAAACCAATGAATCGTGAATGGACTTGATTCCATGTTAGTTTAAAGATTCACATCCCTAATGCAACACATACAAAATACACTTCTACTACATTTGTCCCTTGCGAGGGGTGACTGAAGAATCTGCCTTCACTGTCCGTGCTGCACTCCTTCAGGTTTTAAAACAAATCGGCCCCTAGCATGTTTTACCTACACTGAATCGGTTTTAATAAATTTAATGTACTTGAAGCACTGTATCGGCCGATATTCAACACCGAAGGACTCAGAGATAAGTCATTTGCACAAATAGAGGTCAAATAGAAGCTAACACATGTAACATATTGTGGTTAAGTGTTGTGTGTGTTTTTGTGTATCTTCTGAGACCATGAAGCACCCATACTCACCGTCCAGTTCCTCCACAGAGATGCTAGCAAGCTGGTCACTCTCACTGCGTTCGGACAGAGAGCGACTCAGGTAGTTCCCCTTATAGAGCAGCCCTGCCGTCACATGGTGGAAGGGCATCTTCTCCCTAAACAGCAAAACAATAGGCCAGAAATTTAGAGACAGTAAACTTACAGTAGAGACTGGAGATTATTTTTCCATGCTTGCCAAAAAGCTGCCTCTTGGGATTATTTTTCAGGAGCTCTCCACAGTGAAGCTGGACTTCAAGGAGCCCGTTTATATGAGAGACACTTGAGAACGCTCTGTATCAAAGAAGTTCCATTACAATCAACTTACAAACAGAGGATTTCCTGCTACGTACTGCCATCCATCTCGCAAGTAAACACAAGACTGAACAGATTTTGAACAGCCATAAATCCTATGAACAGCCTACAGCCTCATTCTTTTTCACATAGAATTCTTTCACAACAAAATAAGTGTTAGCAGTAAGTAGTAGCTTTTTTCACAGTAGCTATGCAACACATAAATCCACAAATAGGAGTGCAACACAAACAGGGCAACGATTCTGCAGTGCTGTGAAAACCTGAAACTAGGCCTATTTCCTCCAATTTGGGTACATTTCATTTTAATGCTGCTCATGTAATGTTTATCAAAAGAAAAAGCTCGAGCTCTTAAAAATGCTTACTGTGGGGGCATTTTGGGTGGCCTGTGCCTTCCAATAACATAAAGTCTATTGAAGGGAACTGTACCATTTCGGGCTACTAGCCAGAACGATTGCTGCCAACCAAATCAACAATCATCAAAATTCTTTTAGAAGCCTTTTTGGTAAACCAAATGAGCTCAGCTGATTCACGAATTGGTAAACAAATGATGCAAGATGCAGAATACATCTGCGAGACAGCGAGTCACAGAATTTTTTCTGTATATGAAACGTTTGGTTTCTGACACTGTATGGCATACAATTATACAAATGTACAGATTCAAGCTAAAGGATGGCTGCTATTACTGTTTTTAGCAGTGATGAGCTTTTTTGAAGATAACGGTATGTCATACAGTGTCAGAAACCACATAAGCAAGACTGACATTTAAGATTACTCAATAATGCGGCGAATGTGTAATTGTTTAGCCATGAGGTTTGCATTTTACATAGTGCTAGCTGGTGGAGCATCATACTTGAGTGTGAAACTGAAGAAGCAGGCTCCAGACCCCAAACATGTCTTTGTTGTTTAACTAAAGATGGGTGACAAATCAAAGGAAGACTTGAATAAATGAGTGGAGAAACATAACGATGCTTACAGACAGGTGTACTGCATGACACAATTAAGCAATTAACGTCCTACCATGCTCTGTATAAGAAGGCAATTTATGGATCAAGAAGGCAAAAAGAAAAGATCTACGTGACTTTGAAAAAGGGGTCAATATTGGGGCACAGATGGCAGGAGCTTCAGTCACAAAATTGCTCAGCTGGCTCATGTTTCAACAGGAACAGTGACTAAAGTGACAGCTGCGTTTAGATTTATGGAAAAGACAGGGTTGGAAATTGTGGTTGAAAGTGCACATTCAATGAGCCCAATGCTTGTGCATCAGTGTAATGTGTAAGAAAAAAACAAAAGAGAAACTCTCAGCATAAACAGTACGTCATTTCAAAGATGAATGAACATCTTAGAGTCCAGTGGTCTCAAACCTTAGGCACTGGTCAACAGAGATGTGGAAAAAAGTGATATGGTCAGATGAGTCATCCATGACCATATATTATATGCCTGAATGCTTGACCACAACAGTTTGGAGTTCCAGTGGCTCTGTTATACTGTGGGGCATTTTGCTGGCATGGTTTGGGTCCATTTGTGCCCTTAGATCAGTGGCCGGCAACATGTGGCTCCTTAACTGCCCGGGTGTGGCTCCACAGCAGAATTAGATTTTTAGGCTTAAATCAAATAATCCTCCCTTGCAGTAAAATAAAGCTCTGCTGATCAGTTTTAACATTAACAATTAAACACCCATAGGAGATTCTGGACTGATGTGTTAGGTAGCGCTCTCTAAGTCTAAGTCTAGCTCGATACAAATGAAAACTGAATGAACTCACTCAACACTGGAGATTGTATTGTGGCGTCACACTACTGGCTTGAGTTGCCAAGGGAGTGTGGGAGGCAAGCAGGCTCTTGGGAGGTGCCATGTTCATGGTAGGAGAGACGTCTATTGTAAATAAGTTGTTGTTAGTGTAATGATGTGCAGATGTATTACTTGTGTTATTCTGTGCTGGGCTGTGGGGTAGTTAGTGCAGTGTTAGTGCCTACTGTCAGGTAAAATTGTATGGCTAGAAGTGATCTGTGTGATATCGCGGCCACTTGCGTAGCACTGACCGGCAGTTCTCCCTTGCTGCCTGTTCAATTAAAGAGTATTTGCCTTTTAAGTCGTAATATTTCGCTACAATATACACAATACGTGCAGTTGAAATTGTAGATGAACAACATCAGGAAAATACAGACAGTGTCTTCTGATCTGCAATAACAATCTGTAAACCTTAGGTAGTCTTTATATAGAACAGATGAGCTCAAAAATCTGTGAGGGCATGGTGACAGTAGAGACTCAGAGCAATGGATCATCATTATTTGGTACATTTGAGGTCAGCCTGGATCTCTTCACCCATTTTCAGCAAGTTCACCTAAAAGGCAGCACAAAAGCTGAACTTCCCTCAGTCATTTTGATCACAGGCACTCTGTTGGTGTTCAGCAGGGAACAAAGCTTTCCAAGCCAATGGTTCAACGGCCAATGCAGTTCCATCAAGGTAATCTGACATCAGATATTTGACAGTCTGTTCACAAATACATAATTCTCTGCTGAAATAACATGGCAGTCATGGTCATCAGGCTCACTGTGAAGTAACTTCACCATCCGTCATTTATTCCTAATAAACAAAAAGCAAGAATTAAACCACAGAATGGTTTTTGGTGTTTTGCTGGGCTCAGCAGCTGTAGCCGTCGGACTGAAGGCTCCGCTGTCTCTGTTAGCTACAAGAATTTGCATGTTGTTTATATGATCGGTTGCTTCACAACTCTTCAGAATGACTTCATTCATTTTAATTGTTTTACTGTTATCATTTTATATTGTTTATAAATATGATTTAGCAATCGTTCCACTTCATTAAGACTATTCATTAATTTGCAGGATTTCTCTTTATCTGTGCTATGCCCTGCTCCCGCCTGCAGTGGGCTGGTTACTCACCCGCTCCCGCGCACGACACAGAAAATTTTGTCCTGCAGCGCAAAATGTTGTGGATGGTCACGTAGGTCAACGGGAATCTCGCAGGTGTGCATACCTTACTTTTACAAATGTAAAAGCCCAATTCAGCATCTCCAAGTCTAAGCCTCTCACAAGAGAAAAACTTATATGAAGTATGAAGATGATTCAAGCATGGCTGTAAATCTCTGACCTCACAATGATTTGACTGATGATTCTTCAGGAAACAACTGAATGAATTTTGAAATCTCAAATTTCACTAGTTTCATGATTGTTTTCATACAATTCAGAATTATTTTTGCATGACTGGAGGGACTATTTATACTGTAACAATTCACAATTTTTAAATTTGAGTGATAACTTACAATATTTCACTGTGCTCATGAGTGCATACCCTATTAAATATTATTGAGGGATGGTCTAAACAGACTTTGAATACTTGCTGATATTTTTTGAACAAGTACTCAAATCCTTGTTCTCAAAAGCAAGCTTAAAACAGTATTTGAAGTGTTTATAGACGTCCATCTAATGGAACACAAACGCTTCTATTTTAATCAATGTTTCGGTCCACACTGGCTGTGCTAAATGTGTGTCTTACATTAGTAAAACGGCCATTTTTTCACAGAGGAATCACACACTCCCACTTTACTGTAGCGTTCTAAACTAAACATTCATAAAATGTGATGATCTTGCTGGTGTGGTAGTTGCAGAGCAGCTCCTGTGCTGTACCAATATAATATTTCACCCAGAGCAGCTACATGATGGAGCTGAGTTCGAGGCAGCATGGATTGGACACATCACTGGTACTCGGATAAGGATCACTATAGAAATTTTACACATTTTTCTTATTGTCAGATATTTTACCATGCTCCCAGACATGTGAACTCTTTATAAAGCATTTCTGCTCTTTTTGCTTCAATTGAAACATGGAAAGCAGTGCAGTTGGTTGCACTCTGATACAAGGTGATGTGGACACCTGGATTGAATTGGATTGGATTTATGATGTATTCAAAACTAAACCAACTATAATTTGTGTATTCTTAGAATTTTACATACATTAACAATAACTGTTCTATGTAAATGTCTTTGCTGATGATATTCATTTTAGGCTATTTTGTGACTTAAAAAAAAACAAAATGCTTCCAAATATTATATAAACAAATACCAAATGTAGCAAGTGGATACTTTGAATTATTATATAGTATTTGAATTATTTGGGGCAGCTATAACATTATAACAATCAACTGTAATCAATTCTAGTCAATATCCAGTTCACTACCTAAATTTACCCTTAGATTCAAGGCTTTATGAGGCAGTATATATCCAATAACTTCATGAAGAAAGAAAAAATCATCTCTATAGCACACAAGGTCTCCATCTCCTCCGCTTGCAGTGACCCCATGCCAACCGAGTTATCTATGCTCTTCAGAGTTCAATCGGAATAGGCTGAACTCTAAAATAAAGTTAATTCTCTGGGCTCTGAGGACAATCTAGACACCCAGTAGGGGAGTCCCACTGGACCTCTCTGAAGGAGAGGCCACAGTATAGAGGCTTCATAGGCTCCAGAACACTAGGCTCTGGCATCAAAGCCAGTACACAGTGTGCAGAACCAGCATGGGCACTGGGTCACAGCCAGGTGCAAATCAGAGTAAAACGTGGGCCAGTACACTCGCCCAGATCGCCATCAGGCTGCTGAAGGACATTCAGCTAATTGCAGGCTGCTGCCTATAAAAGACGGATGCAGTCACAGAACCCACAGCAGGCTAGGCGGACCTAATGGAATTGGTGACTGTAAATCAGGAGGTGAAATTAAATCAGCTGGCTGTGCAGATGTATCGTCCTCTGAGGTGAAAGAGACGCTCAATAAAGTCTGATCATGTCTTCAATATTGTTCCTATTATTAGTCTCATTCAGACAGGAACAACATCTGTACAATTATACTTCTCTCTCAGATTTTTCCAGTTCACTTCTTTGTAATTTGCTCTACAGTAGAGCTGCAACATTTACCCTTTATTAATTGGTATTACAATGTTGGCTTTCACATCTGATATTGTGGAAAGCTGCAATATTCAAATGACCACTCTAACCAATCACGGCATTTAGACAGTTTTAGAAGAGTGTTTCTGTGGGTGTTTTGATGAATCAAGGCATTCATATTATCCATCAATGGTAAATTATTTTGGTCAAAACAATGCAGACCAGTCTTTTACCATGTCATATTATTACATGGGTTCTTATGTTTTCTTTTACTACTTTTCCCCCGAGGTAATGACATTTGCACCATTTTTGTATCAAAAACAGTCATAATACATTTTTTTCTAACAATTTTCCAACCTCTCTTTATTCCTTAGAATTGAACAGGCTGTTTTGTTACTGTGCCTTTAAGACTGATCTATGTAAATGAGTGTTGTCCTGACTGGCTGCTGTGTATTATGTCTCTTTTAAAAAAAAAAGCAGTCTGAGTTGAAACACTCTTTACAACTTTGGTGTGAGTGGGCAGGGCTAATGTGCTGTAGGCTGAACAGAGGGATAAGTGAATGCTTTTGTTTTCATGACATTATAAAAACAGTGAATTCAAAAAATGACTTATGAAGGGTACATTTTGAAACATTCAACTTCAAAATCTTATTTCAAAAAAGGAAAATAAATTTTTCCATGAAATGAGCACTTTCATATTATATACAAAGTGAATTGCAATCACACTATGTAGCAATATCATTGCAACGCTATTTTATCTATATCTTGCAGCTCTAGGTTATAGGTTAATCCTTACAAAAAATGGCTACTTTATTAGTATTTACAGCACTGCTGTGTCTGTGTTACTGCAGTGCTGAGAATGATCCACCTCCCAAATAGTACCTGCTCTGTGAGGGTCCATGGGGGTCCTGACCACTGAAGAACAGGGTAAAAGGGGGCTAACAAAGTATGCAGAGAAACAGATGGACTACAGTCTGTAATTGTAAAACTACAAAGTGCACCTTAATAGTAAGTGGAGCTGATAAAATGGACAACGAGGGTAGAAACAAGGAAGTGGTCATAATGTTATGCCTGATTGGTGCATACTGCTGGATTCTATATTTACAGTAGTTTTAAGGAGCACTGGCTGCAATTTGCATATTGTTTGGTCAACACTTCAAAACCGTGCTCTTAAATGTTGCTATATGGTACCATTTAGCACGCTCTATGCTAAAAGAGAACTCTGCTGGTGCTGGACACGGTGCTTTGGCAGTTCCTGGGGGCTTAGGGCTTGGGCCTTTCAATCACAAGGAACAATACAGAGTTTGTCTTCATTTTCAACATCAAAGAAGCTTTACACTGAATGCTTCCAAGTCTTTCTTCTTTTTAATGCTCTGCGTGCTCCCCATAAACTACAGTACACGTTGTGTACATTTTGTCCAAACAGCTGAAAGGGGGGAATAAATCATGTGCCTGGAATGATAACAGCCCATCTGAGCGGCTTGGGTCGGCACATTTAATTAAGCTAATTATCAAGATGCCTGCAGTTTCCGAAGAGTTGTAATCAATTTCATATTGGCTGCAGTTCACATCTGACACCAAAATACAGCAGCTTAATGCATACAAGCCATTCAAAAACATTTCTGAATCATGACGTACACAGCAGAACGTTACTTGCATGCATCTAACGTGACCATATTACAAATCCCAGCTCAAAACATGAGGGAGAAACACGTCATCAATCATGATGCTATGAAAGCAACAGAAAAAACAACCAATCATGTATTGTACACAAAAGCAGCACAAAATTAAATGAGAAATTCAGGTCTTAAAGTGACATCTGGTGTTCCAAATCTGCTTCTCCGCTGGAGCTGAACAGTATAAGCTGAAATGACAAATTAAAAGTACACTGAAATTTGTCTGTACTTTTGTTTTTCTAGATAACAGTAGTAAGGCTAACAAATTTGTTATTTTTTTTATTTTCCAATAAATATTATACTGAGTATAATACTTGATAAGAAAACCTCATATTTCACTTTAACAATCATATTAAAAATTATTATTATTATTATTATTATTATAAACATTGTTATTGTTATCATCATCATTATCATAATTATGGTTAACAGTGTCCTTTTAACCATATTTTCTTTATCCAAAATCAAAAAACAAGAATTTTGAGTCAGTGAACAGCAGAGTAACCATGTCTCTATATTAGGTTCTGAACTTGCTGAAGCTGTTCAATAACAGATTTCTACCAAAGCATGAGATAAATTGGCATCCGGCCTTAAAGGAGAACACAAATTCCAAAATGTCTGCATAATTAAATGGTAATAATGTGAACAAAGTCATTCAGAGTGGTTTGATGTGAAATACTTCATTCTAGAGAAACGCAGTGACAGAACTGTTCACAGTGGTGGTGACAGGAACCAGGAGAGTTTAATGCCTCTAAAAGCTGCTTGACAGAAAGTTATTACATGAAGTGGTTATGAATACGCTGCTGGATGCCAGAGACACTGTGTTACGATAGTTTTGAGAAGCTTTGTGCCTCACAATGCTCTGTATGGAGGGCACTATGAGGCAAAATAATTTTTTTTCAAATTTTCCATTATTTAACTTACAATATTACATATAAAAACTCTGACATGTGTAGCTTCACTGGTGGTTTTGTATAGTAAGTAAAATGGCCATATTGGTGTTGTGTTTGTACCTTGTTTACATCTTAAGCGCTAAATTATGAAGAAATTTTGAAAAATTTGGGGAATTCCTCTTAAAAATTTCTACGTCCTGTTTTATGTGTCACGCAGGCAGATTTTTGCTTAAGACTAGACACACATTTCACAGTGTCTTCCTAAGTTTTTTCTCAAATTTGTTCTTGAGAAAGGTCTTAAGAAGTCTACATCAGATTAATGAGTGTTTTCTTAAACCGCAGAATTGTTCACACCTTGGTGCTCTTGACTGAGTGTAGATTCTGTTCTTATCAAAGAATAAATCTCAAAATAAGAAAACACTGAATGTCAGAATCTTCGTGAAAACTATGTAAGTGGGTTTTAAGAAGAAAATTTCTTCTTAAGAATGGCTGGTAAATGAGACCCAATGATATCAGAATCATGTCAGTATCAGACAATATTTGCTTTAAAAAGATGTGCAAATTTAGCTGTATTTTAAACTGATAATTAGGTGATGTATTATAGGTACTGTGTACTATCAGAGGCTAAAATCTGCTTTTCAGGCAGTCTATTACACTTGTAACTACAGAAATAAATAATATATTTCTCTGTAATGTTAATTTACGTAGATAAATTATTTGATATCGACAATATTGGACCACAACTCCCATATTGGTGCATCCTTATTTGAGAAACTCTGCTCTGCTACTGCATGGCTACTGCCTAGCTAGCATTTAGCTGGATAAACAAACTTTTTACTCCATCAGACTGATGTAAAACAGTGCATAGAAGCGCGCTGTCTCATTTAAGAGCTACTGAAGGGCATTTCGAGTGGCTTTACAGTTTTTGAACAACTTTACAGTTTTTCAATATTTTAGCTATTAAATTTACTGAATTTACAAATACTCATTGCAGGCCTAAACAGTATGGTGGTAAATATGAGAAACCAAATAATCAAATTGATGTGAAATAACTTAATATCTCAGCAGTTTTAAGCAAGCATGTGATGACAGGCATTTAGTTGCAAAGTGCTTTGCGGTGGGATACAAGCTTCCAAGCTTACTGAAGACATGACAATAAAGTCTTGCCTGGCTGATTACATTTTAGGATAAGAGGACAAACAGGGGCTGCGTCTGTTTCTTGATGCATACAAACAGGAGGGCACAGAGCAGAGCCTTCCAGGCAACATGTGAGAGCACACAACCCTGAGCCAGGAGGCGTCCTGAGGGAGCACCGAGGAGAGCATGACTAATCCACCTGCCATCACGCTAAAGAGCAGCATGTTATGCTTCACTTTTTTGCACGAAAGGTCACATAACACGTGCCAGATTTCACGCTAATAAAACGAAACAAGGCACAACACATAGTGACAAGGTACACACAGGGAAAAAGTAGTAAAAGTACTGATCGATTTCTTTGGGGGGGGTGGCACTAATGCTGATGTGTTCGCTAAAACAAAAAGAGGAAATGCTTATTGATCCATGTTCAGAAGGGATAATGGAATATTTACCAACAACGAGTAAAACTAAGAGAGACAAGCCACATTGATCACAGGCACTCTGATGGTGTTCAGCTAAGGACAAAACTTTCCAGGCCAACAGTTTTTTCCAATAACTATTAAAAGTTAATCCTTTTGATTGCTTAGAATAACTTTTCTATAGCACACATTAATCAAGGAGTTCAGAAGAAGAAACGACCATTTTTGAGTGATATAGGAGGAGTGCAGTGCCTGCAAGTGATTCAAATGGAACTCATTATTAAAGGTAAAGCCTGAACTGTCTTTAAAGGGTAAAATTCAAATTAAATAATAAATAAAGTGTAACATAGAGTGAATACAAATGTAATAGTCCACTTCCACATCAAGTTCACTCCTCTAAACTAGAAAAAAGCTTCCTTATACCGACAGTCCAAGGCACTGAGACACTGAGTAAGCAAATGAAGAAAGAAAAGAGAATTCAGTCAGCTCGATCTGAATCAGCTGAACGCTACACTGCTTGACTATAGAGATGATTCAAGGTATTACTGAGTGAGTACATGTCAAATTCACAGCTCTAAGCAAACCCATGAAGACAAAAGACAATATGGAGTGATGAATCACAGCAAATTACTTCATCCTATAAAGTCAAATGCTCAAAAGGATAAAAAGTATCCCCTTCCAGCTCCACAAAGTGTGTCTCCCCTCAAAAAGCCATCCTGCTGCAAACGGTCTAAAAGAGTGCTTGGACCCCTTGCTGTTTCTTACCCATACTGTTCGCACTCTTTGGGGTACTGCAGCACCCCATCCTCTTTGTCCCGGCTCTCGGGCGTCCCGTCTGCCTCCGAGCCCTCCTCCTGCGTCCGGGGGTCCGCACCAGTGACCTCCATCTGACGGCGGACCTCCTCTCCTGCTCCGGCTTCAGCAAAACAAGCAGTCAGGCTGGTCCTCTGGGGCGGCTCAGCCTGACTGCCTGCTGGACTCGCTCCACTCCTGAAGCAGCAGCATCGAGCTGCGCCCGCAAATCCAGAGTTAATATTTCAGCAGCTGGGACGAGGCAGAGTCCTCTTTATCCCCCCTCAGTCAGTCACTCACTCTCTCATGCTCCACGCACACTGCACAGCCAGCAGCAGCAGCAGGTTCATTAGAGGAATTCAGGGGCATTAGCAGCTCTTCCTCTGCAGTTCAGAGCGGAGGCACAGCAAGCCCGCCTGCCACACGCCCTCCTGCTCCTCAAGACAGATCGCTCCATAGTGATTTGTGAGCGAAGGCTCTCTCCTTTCCCTTCCAGCGCTCGTGCAGAGCACTCCTGTAATTGTCAGAGCAGTCGCCGGCAGTCTATAAGAGGAACTCACTTGAGTTGTGAGCTATAATCAGCAGGATGGAGAAATCAATGGGACACTGTTACCTGGATGCAGCGTTGATTATAATCACTTGTTTAATGTGTTCTACATATTAGGCCTGCAGAGAACGCAACCAGAGCTTTATGCAGCAGTTGCTTTCATGAGCTGTCGTTTTAGGACCAATTTTACTGTTTTTGCTGAGAAAACACTGCGAGAGGGCTCACACAGCATACTGTCACTGCTGGATCAACACTTTGTATCTCCAGAACGGTAACTTTATAGAAGAAGGAATTTTCAATGCAAGTTAATGTACAGTATTTTATTGTATATTATTTTGAAACATTGTTATTGCTCTATTCATCACAAATTGTCACCACAATGTAAAGTGCAACTGGTATTTTTAAGAAAAAATAAGTTTTCTTTTTTTTCCCCATGATATATGATGTTGGGAGTCGGCTTAACACTTCACATGTCATAAATATATACACACACACACACACACACGCTTGCATAAATATATATGCAGACAGAGAGAATGAATATATATCTAACATACACTAGACCCCCACACACACATACACACATTATATACAGATACACACACACACACACATATTATATATATATATATATGTATATATATGTATATATATATATATATATATATACATATATATATATATATATATATACACACACACACATATCTCTCTCGTTATATATATATATATATATATATATATATATATATACACACACACACATACATATATAATGATAACTTTACAGGAGAAGGAAAAAAACCTACTTTACTTTTAATGTAAATCAGTGGAACCAGACTTTTTTCCCTAAGTCATTTTGGGCCATTTCTTTTGGTCCATCCATCATCAAATTCACATACAATAGATAGATAGATAGCTAGATAGATAGACAGATAGATAGATAGATAGATAGATAGATAGATACCCTACAAATAATAAATAAAAATGGATATATTATTTCTATCTAATCTATTAAAAACTAAAAAAAAATGATAAATGAATTTAAAACGACCTTTTCAATACTGACTTTACACCCCAGGTTAGTACAACAACGTTATTGCAGGTACTAATACATTAATGCCATCAGCAGCAGAATCAGGACAAATCCGCGCCACAACCAAGAATGAGCATCAGCAGGAGAAGGACAGATGAGCGCAGTCCTCCTTTAAACCTGTGGGCTTTTAATAAAGGCACCACCTTAATTGGCCAATCCAGCGTCCTGCAGGCTCTGACTCCACACCGAGCTCTGACTCCGCACTCAGCCAACAGGTGCAGCTCACACGCAGTAACCTGAGCCGCACGCCCCTGCAAGCCTTCAGCGACCACCACAGCACCAGGAATACAACTCACAGACTCTAAAAGCCTCTCTCTTACCTTAAGAAGTAATATCCAGTGTCCGGAAGCGATTTAAATCCGTCGACTCGCTGCTCGTCGCTTTGGCATCCAAAAGCGAGCTCATAAATTTCTCCGCCAACTCTGACCAGGTAAAGCGGACTGATCAGCATCTATCGCTCCCTCAGCGAACCCTGCTCTGCTCCTCTCTCCACACCAACATGAGTTCAGATACGTCCCAATTCCAGTCAGGAGAACCGAGCAGTTGTTCTTTTTTAATTTCCTCCTCAAACTTCCCCTCAGTTCAGACCTCCCTTATCTCCACATTGTTGAGCGAGAGGAGCTCGAATTTCCTCGCCTCAGTTGATTCACTCCGCTGAGGAAAAGCACGAGACACGCTTTGGTTTTTGCCGCTAGCAGAAGCTGCTAACAGTCGGCTGGCAGGAAAGTATTCCAAAAACAGTCCATAAATCCCTGTCAGAGCAGGAGCTCGACTCCTAACCGCTTCCCGCCAGCTATTTGGAGTGTGTATCGCCAGTCAGGGACCACTGCAGGCTCCAAGCGTGCTGTCTCGGATTTGTCTTCTCCAGCTCCAGTTAACCCGTGAATGGCTGCCCAGACCACCTCACATCATCATTCAGCCGTGCTGGTGGTCCCTCCTGCGCTCCTTACTGAGGGAGAGAGAGCTGAGGAGATACCACAGCCGCCCAAGAGCGAGGTCTACCTCAGATTTTCAGCAGCCACAGACTGAACCTGTCTGCGCCCCAGAGCTGAGCAATACAACGATATTTATCATCATCGTCATAAATTACATCACAATATGTCACAGTACGCTTTACTGAGTGTATCGTGGATATTGACAGTACTTATAAACCACTTACCAACCGCACGGCTGATTACAAAGTGAGCTTAATTAGACCCGTTTAACTGGATTAGTGCAGCGCTGTGTGTGAAATAAATACAAATGACTGAATTCATAGTTTTTGATAGTATTTTTAAAATGTGGGCTTAGTTTGTCTGTTCTACACTCTTAAAAATGATGGTTCTTCAGGGGTTCTTTAGTAAAGAAAATGAGTGATTTTGCATGATTAAAAGGGTCATTTGAATTGTGAAAGGGTTCTTCAGAATGTGCTGTGGATAGTTCTATATAGAAGCACCAAAAAGAGTTCTTCTGTTGTTATGATGTCAAGCTTGTAGCAATAGAAGAACCCTTTTTGGTGTTATAGAGAACCCTGTTCAAAAAGGTTCTATGTAGGACCCTCTACAGATCATTCTCCATCAATATGAAGAACCCTTTAATCATGCACAGGGTTCTTTGAGTGTTCATGGTTCTATATAGATCCATTTTCTTTACTAAAGAACCCTTAAAGAACTATCTTTTTTAAGTGTGTAACTTAACAGATGTCAGAAAACGTTACTATTGTGTCATATCGTGTATTGTAAAAAACTTCTTTAAGTATTGTGATATTACATTTTGCCATATCACCCAGCTCCACTCTGGCCTGGATCAGTGGAGCTGGTTTTAAAGTTGTTTTAAAACTCTGCAGTCTCATCTCCCCAGTGTGGGACTCAATGGCTCATGTAAATCATGTTTTTAAGAGGTTACGTGAGGAGGCCATATAATTTGGGCTTGACGGAGATGAACTGTGAAGTAGTGATACTGATCCATGTCAATTCATTTTCCAATGGTTCCAATGGTTTGTGTTTTCTGATAGTCCATCTACTTGGCAAGGAGAATTCCACAGATTTTTTTTCAATTCCAGCATAATTAAACCGTTTAGATATAAACAAGGTCATTCAGAGTGGTTTGGTGTGAAATGCTCCGTTCTAGAGAAAATTTACTGAGTCAGAATTGTTCATAGTGGTCATACAGTGATAGGAACAGCTGTTCTGATGAGTTCTCTTACTTTGTTGAAATGTCCTACCATAGCACACATTTATAGGTAGCTCCCTATGTATAATTATCTGAGTATAAGATCCCAGATAGCAAGCATACACCCATCACCAATGTTCTTCAATGCTCTGGACCCCCACAGAGCAGGTATTGTATGGGTGGTGGATGTGTTTTGTGTTGGTATGAGTGGATCAGACACAGCAGTGCTGCTGGATTTTTTAAAACACTGTGTCCACTCACTGTCCACTCTATTAGACACTCCTACCTTGTTGGTCCACCTTGTAGAGACAGTAGCTCATCTGTTGTTGCAGTTTGTGTAACACATCAGTACCATATTGGTGTCACTGAAGTGCTGAGAATCCTCAGTCCTGTGGGGGTCCTGACCATTGAAGAACAGCGTAAAGGGGGCTAACAAAGCATACAGAGAAACAGATGGACTACAGTCTGTAATTGTAGAACTACAAAGTGCACCTATATAGTAAGTAGAGCTGATAAAATGGACAATGAGTGTAGAAACAAGGAGGTGATATTAATGTTATGGCTGATCGGTGTATATCGGTCCACTGGTTTGATGAGGTCAGCACCCTGCTGGTAGTATGCCACTGCTGGTCCTTTCTCGGACCGCCCAGATTACTGTCCTGTGCACACGGTCTAACTAGTTTTTAATCTCCTCAAATAGATTTTAAATGGACTGAGACTTTTATTTTGGAAAACGAAGACAAAAATTACAAACAACTGAAAGAAAAATAATTAATGATAAGACCTAACATAAATGATTTTGTTGAAAATGCTGTCGCTGATTGTGCTTGATTAGTTACAGCTGCATAACCAGCTTTATTTATGATATTACTGTTAAATTGATTTACTAAACAAATTTTAGTAAAGGATAAGAAAAGAAAGAAAGGACTGCAGCCCAACTGTGGCATGCCATTCTCTTGCTATCAAACCATATATCGTGTACCATATATAGTGCCATATAAACCATATATAGCGCAATTTAAACTTCATATCAAATCACTTGGACTGTGTTTACATCTCAATCATTGAGTAAGGCAGAAATTTAAAAACTCGGTGGAGTCATGTTAAGGCAGAGAGTGCAGGTGATGTGTGTGCATGTTTGTGTGGTGTTTTTTCCCTCCTCGCTGCTCTGTTCCACTGAGTGATAACGGTAAATAAATGGTAAGTAATTGATTAATAAATAATGTAAAGAGATTTTTGTGTGGTGTCAGCTAAGCAAATTACAGGAAAACTCTATGTCCATTTCTTTACACTTGGACCTGGAAGAATTTAAACAGAAACAAGCCTTCAAGGTCGGGCGATATGGAAGAAATATACCACAATACCTAAAGACAATTTCACAATA